ATTAGCCCCACTCCAGAGGAGATAATTAACACAAGTGGAATGCTTTGCTGCCACAGCCAACCTGCTCCCAAACCTGAGCTGGTATCTCCCCAGCTTGACATTGCACTGGGTGGTGTAGACAACCTGGGATGTCCAGGCTGAGTTTTCAGGGTTGGTGCCAAGCTACTTTTTTTTTTTTTTTTTTTTTTTTTCAGAAAATATTTCCCTGAGATTTTTCTATGTCTTTGGCTTTACAGTTTTATGTAGGGCCAAAGACTTCAGAAAGCCTCCCTCTCCTCTTGATTGTTTTTCTGCTTATGAGGTAAGATCATCCTTAACAGATGTTTGTTTACCTCTTCATAAAAACCTCCTGTGATTCTACAGCCTCCCCAAGCAGTGTGCTGCAGTGCTTTGCTATTCTTACTGTTGCAAAGTGTTTTTCTAATGTTTAGCTATATCATTTTTATTGCAAATTAAGCTGATTATTTCTTCTTCTACTTCTGGTGAATGTAGACGACAACTTCTTAGTCTCTCCACCCATTATAACAAATGTTTATGTGCTGGAAGACTGTTATCATGCCTCCCCTCCTGTTGTTCTTTTCCTAGAGAAAACAAACTCAGTTATTTTATCAATTCCTTATAAGTCATGTTTTTTTGCATCACTTATCATTTTGTTGTTCTTTTTTGGACTTTCTCCAATTTGTCTACATCTCCTGTAAAGTGTAGTGCCTGGAACCGGACACACTGTTCCTGCTGAGAGCTCAACACTATTGAGTAAATGCACAAAATAATTGCTTCCTTTGCCTTGTACACAAAAGTCCCCTTAAAGCATCTCAGAATGAGATTTGTCTTTTTCTGCGGGAATCTCACTTAACAGACTCACATTTGGGTCCCACCTGAGCTCTTCCTTTGCTCCACTGCTGCTGAAATGGTTGAGACCCAGCTTGGACTGGCGCAATTGGTGTCGGTGCAGTCACCTTGCCTGAACTGTATCTTGCTGCAGTCACCTCTGCAGAGGGCAGCCCACCTCCCCAGTGTCTCACGTTCCTCTCAAATTCTGATCGCCCCAGCCCCCCTGCCTTCAGGAGGGACTGCTGCCCCCCAGCCCAGCTGTCATCCTTTTGGTTTTGCCCTCTAGTCTGTTGTCCAAAACATGCAAGGAAATACTGAGCAGCCCTGGAGGCAGAACTTCAGGGATATGATCCTCCCAGCTGGAAAAGTGAAGCCCTGATAATTACCCTTGATTATAGCACTTCAGCCTGTGTACACTTCACCTGTACCTCTGCATGGTGACTTTGCTTGCTGCTCTGGGAGCCTGTGATCTAGATATTTTTTAAATGCTCACTAAAGTCAAGGCATTTTATATCTACCGTTTCCTTCTCATCTATCAGGTCTCTTAGTCAAAGAAGGAAATTAGCCTGGTTTGACAGGATTTGTTCTTCGAAATTCCCTACTGGTTGTCTCTTATCACCTTATTGTCCTTTAGCTACTTATAAATTGATTGTTTCATAATTGGTTCCAGTATCTCTCTAGGTATCATGGTTAGGCTGACTGGCCTGTAATTCCCCAGGTCTTCTTATAACAGTAATTTTCAGAGAAGGACTGCATTTAAGTTAAATAGATATTGAAAGACATTCCACTTTTGCCCTGCTTATCTTTATTCATTGTCTGGTTTTGTTCCATCCCTTAAATTAAAAACACATTTCCCATAAGTATTTATCCTCCACTTGAGGCTCAGCACAATCCAATCCTACCTTTACCTCTTCTCCTGTGCTCTTGCCCAAGCCTTCCTGTTACTTACATACTTCCCCGATTTTCCTCCTTCTTGATGATTTATATCTTCCTCCATCTCTTTTCTTTATGGTTTGTTTGCAGCTCCCTAGAAAAATATATTCCCCAGCAATTTATATCCCCCAGCGCCTGGAGGGCTCTGAAGAGAGTCCAGGAAAAATCTCAGAGCTCTGCCCTTTAAGCATGGACAGTGACATTTGCCAGTCTTGCAGGGACATGGCAAGCTGTGCCTGAAGATTTGCCCAGGGCTGGCTGCATTTAAATGATTTCTGAGACCAGTAGGTGGCAGAGAGAAGATGAAATCTGGGAGATTCTGGTCCTAGTGATCAGAATGATAGACTTGCTTTGGCTCTAGGGTGGACAAAGAGATGTGTTAATAGAAAGCAGGTGTCTGCTAAGTTGGGTAGTGTCAAGCAAACAAGAGTGTTGGGTAAAGCTCCCAGCTTCTTGTAGGGAGGCTGAATATATCTAGTGTTCAGCTTCAGCCAGGAGCAAAAGGTTTGTGAGTTCAGCAGAAGAACAGGAAACGTGCCACTTTCTAGCTAAGCAGATCAGGAGAAGATAACTTTGTTTGAGGGAGAGGTATCATTATCCAGGGTTGTGTGCTATATAATTGCACAATCTGCTATCATGCATGAACAGAGCTGTTCAATAGCATGGCCCTGCCTTGTCCTGACATCATGTCTGTGTTGGAAATCCGTTTGGAATGAAAAATCCCACATTCCCCAAGTGACCTCGTAGTCTCTGAGCAAAAGGCTGAGTTGCAGCGGAGACTTCACAATCTCAGTGGTGCCAGAGCTGGGAGCTCAGTCACCAGCCCCAAAGTGGCTAAAGGATGAGAAGTCAGCAATGAAGCAAACTTATTTCCAAATAAACTAACATTTTTAAAGTGCAGGAGATGTCCACAGTTCTTTGAAGGCAAGAAAAAGTCACTGTGAGTAACAGTGTTACTCTCATTAGCTGGTATTGTTTCTAGCACTGTTTTTTGGAGATGGAAGTACTCAGCACTTCTACACACTGCCTAATGAGAGCATAAATGCTGGGCCAGATACACAGGTTGGAAGTGTTGGCCGTTATCAGTCTGGCACTGTCAGTGTTGCAGTTCTTTGCAGATTCAGCAAATGTTGCATGCTGTGTGTGAGGCCTAGTCTAATAAACCTTTGGTTTTATGGTCTCTACTGCCTTCTTTCACAGCCATTGCTTTCATATTACAAAGGCAGCCCTGACTTCCAGCATCACCCTGATGCCTGAGAGAATCAAGTCCTCTTCTTGGTCTCCTGCTCTGCCCTCTCCTCTTCATACCCATTTCAAACAACCATTTCCCTGTGTAGCCCCACTACAAGAGGAATTCCTCATTGGTCATCTTAATTTAGGCCATTTTCTGTGGCCATTTTCTTTAGGGGTAGGAGGCCACAGTGAGATGGAGAATCTGGCCCAGGGCGGAGTGGTGCCTTTTTAAAAGGCACCCCGTTGAAGAGATTGTGTGGTTTTCCCCAAACCAGAAGTGTCCAGCAAATTCATCATGCACCATGTTAAAGGCTCTGCACCCTAGTGATAGCAAAGGAAGTCACTCTGATCATTCAGAAGAAGGTAACATATACCGAATTATCAGTGACTTGAATATAATTTCTGTATCTTGCAAGCTGTTTTGCATTTTGACAGACAGTATTTGATATTTGGATAGTGTTTGCAAAAGGCAGATAAAAGGTTAATGGGAAATGGCGCTGACACTAGCTGGATGTAATTTAAAGATGGGCTACAGCCATGTAGTTACATCCCAGATTTGGGTTTTGGCTTGTTATTTTAGAGATAAAGCCCAGAAAGGGATATGCACATTCAGCCAGAGCTGAGTTTTCTGAAAAGACAGCTTCAGTCTGAAAAGGGATGGGTAGTTTAACATCTGAACCATCTGGCCCCTGTGATGCACCAGCTTGCAGGAATTCTCTGAAGGTGTTAGCTGCTGGTGATATCATTTAGTATTCCCTCTCTTACTGCTTCCCAGAGAGGGGATGAGGGTGGCAGTGATGACCAGTCACTCATGTTTTAATCCTAGTTTATCTCAGTAACATATAGCAAAAAAAAGCAACAGAGGTATTCCTTATTCTTCCTTACTAGCGGGCTATTCCTCTTGTTCATCAAACTGTGCCTTTTCATGTTCACTTCATGTTCTTGGGACTTGTGTCTTCTCCTCTTTGTGTCCTCTCTCCAGAAAGACTATTCCCACGCTTTATGTAGCACAGGTTGAAAAATGTCACATATAGACCTCTGCTACTTCTCTATAAAGAGAGTGATTTATTAAGATATTCAGAATATGACCTTCCTTCCAACTGCATGCATAGAGATTGATTTTTCTTTTGTGTCTCCCAACTGGTCTCTCTTGCAAAATGTGTTTCTCTCCCATCTCTCACTTATCCTTTAGGTTTTTTGAAATCGAGTTTGAAAAACATAATCTCTGCCTCCAGTTGTGCTTAGGACTTTTGGGGTGATGCAACTCAGCTTAAATGGTGTTTGGGAGGACATCTGAACTTACATGGGAAAAAATGCCCAGGACCACTGAATAGAGGCCTGAAATCATTGGTTTGAAGACAAAATTTTGTGGCCCTCATACTATAATATCTCATTTAAATGGCAGCTTTTCTAGAGACAGAGCATCTCCCAGTGCCATTCTGGGGAGTTCAATTCAGTGTTGAGTCGGCATAAAGAGAAAGGAGTGCTACTTGCTGCTTCATCACTTTATGAGCCTGGTATCTCTATCATTGCTTAGCAGATCTTGCTTCCAGTAATCCTCTTTTTCTTCGGAGCTAAGCACCAAGAGCACATTCTGAGCAATTCATACAGAAAGATTAAAAAAATAACACCTCAGAATAAAGTTATATCCTTTGGCTGCTAATCAAAACTCACAGGGCAGTTAGTTGTACTTGTGGATGCATTACTGAGCCTGCAATTTTTCTCTTCTGCAGGCTCTCCAGCATTTTTGCAGATGGCTGGGGGTAGGTGAGGGCCCCTGGGGTAACATTCCTCTTTGCTGGGCTGCTGGAATCCAGCTACGCTCCTTAACAAAACAGTTTGTTTTAGACATTTTTGATGCATGTGCCTGTGCATAAGATGCACTTGGAGAAAAAACTAAGCAAAACTAAGACACTGAAAGGCAACGTTTTAAAATTGGTATTTCTTAGCTGTGATTAATATTGACTGATGATCTCATTTTCCCATAATGCTTCTTTTTCCAGGTAAAAGATGTTACAGAGTAGTCCAAAGTATCTGGCAATGCCAAATACAGACCTCAGGACTGCAACACTCATCTTCAGTCCACCCAAAATTGTTCCTTGCAGTTGAACTGAATCAGCAATATGACTTGGCAGTCAGAGCTGGGTGTAGGGTAACAAATTAATTCAATTAGTTCTGCCACCATCAGAGATGTTGGCCCTCACTTTTCACCTGTCACACCACAACACCTAGAGACCAGTGAGTGGGGACGCACACAGAGCTGTGCTGAACCATGTCAAAATTGCAGAGATGCTTCGGTCCCTGCTTAACTGTGCGAACTCCCATTTATGCATGTATTAGGTTTTCACTGCCTTTGCCTGTTCCTCTCCCCCCTCTGCTTTTTCATGTTCAGTGGATTCTCCTCTCTGTGTCTCTGCCTCCCTTTCTCTATTTTTTTCCTCCCTATTGTTCTCCACGTCACTAACTGTCACTCACTTCATAAAGCCGTCTGGCTTGGAGCTTAAATATTGCAGGGCAACTAAAACCCACCATCAGAGCCAATTCAGTCATATCTGCTCAGTCGTGCGACAAGATCGGGACTTTTAGGGTAGGGAAGAAGAGAGACAAAAGTTCACTCTTTCCTGCACAGTGCCAAGAGAGGAGGGGGACACATTTCTTCGGTGGAGCCTTTCACAGCGGCAAGTTGCTTGCTCAACGTCCTTAACCTATACAGTCTTTTTTGCTGGTAGCCTGCTCAGGTTGCAACGTCTGGAAACGCAGGGTGGGGGTTTGCAACAAGCCCATGTGAGTTAAGAACAGGAGTCTGTTGGCTCTGAGTGGGCTTAGGCAGTCTTTCCTCATGACAGGCAATTTAAGGGAAAAGGTGACTGCCTAAATTCCTGGCTTGCACCTTTTTTTTTGAGACTTCAGGGGGCTGACTGCTTACAGGTGGGATCCCAGATGTTTGAACTGGTTGTACCACTCATCTTCAGTCCACCCAAAATTGTTCCTTGCAGTTGAACTGAATGAGTGACCTCAAACCACTTCACTTGCGGAAAATAGAGAGGATGCTCATGACAGATTTTTGAAAAACGTGACTAGTTCGGAAGTGATTCCAGGAAGAGCTTAGCCAAATGTAGCAGGCTGCAAGCGAGACATTTGATGGGGTTAGACAGGAAACATTTTTCCTTCTCTTGTACAGTGAGTTTTCCGTATGATAAGGTTTATCACATCTAGAATGTTGCTCTTGTGTGCTGCAGTGGAAACATTCAAATGGTAGCTGTGGATATCAGCATGGCTCACAAAGAAAGAAAGGGATGGAGTTATCTGCGGTGCCTGGGGGACAATGATGTTTATATTGTGTGTAGTCGTGTTTTTTACAGAGTTGCACATGATTGGTAACTGTCGGGTGTACTTTGCTCTGTGAATTTGCAGAAAGAGAATGTTTAAATCAGTTTAGATAATGTATGTAAACAGCATAATCTTCTGCTAGACTTGTTAATGTAAGTGCTGACATTAACACACTCTTTTACACAACTTTAATGACTGAGAAAGTAGCAATTTTCTTTGGTGATTAAATTATATGTTTGCCGCTTACGCATGCAAGGTGTTTGTGCAAGCTGAAGGACTGCGTTCTGCTCTTTGTTTTCTAACACGGGTGTCTGGGGTTGAAATTTTACAAGGTTTGAAGGCAAGGAAAATGAGTCCATCTTGTTTTAGAAAAATGACATCAGAAAGATTTTTTTTTTTTTTAAATGTTGAAAATTTGTGAAATTCCCCAGAGCTGTAGAACTCTCAATATTTTGTGTGTTTGTCTATGTGTGAATACGTACACACAGTAGTTGAAACAGACTGGTATGCGTTGGTGTGCCGTAACATATGGCATTACAAATATATCCCCGTGGTATCTGAAGGAGGGAAGAAGTTTAGATACTCAGATTTCCATGGTGTTGACTGTGCCTTCTTTTTCCCATCACTTCTGTATGCGTGTCTGCATTTAGGAAACTATAGATGGAGGTAGTATCTAAGAGATAAACTTCTAGATCCCTATGAACAGCTATTTTATGAATAATGTTCCCTGTTTCACTTGTTATGGTCTATAAGTTGATCTTTCTGGATCACTGTAATATTCTACATTCCTCAGAGACTTCAGACTGCTGTGATGTGTTAAATCAGGCCATCCCAAACAAGTTTCCTCTTTATTTTCCTCATTCATAGATTTTTCCTTGCCTAAAATTATATAGTGGGAAGTTTGGGATGCACAGGATGAAATCCTGTCTTAGGAATAATTTCTTGTCATTAAAAAATAACAACACATGTAATGTTTGACTTGCATTACTTGAAATTGGCAATAGGATACCTGTAGGTGGCTTCCAGCTGAGATAGCAGCACTGACATTTTAGAGAGAAAATAGGATTTTAGGCACCAGTTACAGACCTTTGTGTTCGCCTCCAGCTTGGTTCCAATGTCAGTGTGGCAACTGACTTCAGAAGAGGATACAAGGAATAACCCCAATAACCTTGAATAATGATATTGTATGTAATTTATACTATATAGCAAAACTAGTATATATGGTAGTTATTAAGTTTATACAACATTACTAACATAGTAATGATGTTGTTATTGCTATTCGTACCTAACAGAGTGATTTCTAATGTAGAATTAATATTTGCAACCTATAGAGAATTCAGGTTCGTGTAGGTGCAAGATGGGCACCAGTTCAAGATCTCCTTGACCCGTGTGTGGTTCTGCTGCAGAAGAGCTTGGGTGCTTGAAACCTTCACTCTCTTTTCTAACCGCTGCAGCTGCATGCTGATAAATCTGTTCTACTGTACTGCTGGCGTGTGTTTGTACGTGTACAAAATCTAAGCAGGCTCATGCAATGAAGCCTACAAGGCACCACAGAAGACTCTTACCTGGAAAAAGAGTTAAATATCCTCCCCAGCTGAAAAGTAATTGCCCATTTAGAGTCAGGGAATAAAGATTTTAGCAAGCAGTTTGCTCTGACTTCCCAGCCCTCCTTCTGCTAATAAATCATTGTGATCAGGCAAATAAGCAAGCACAGAAGCAACCTTCTTTCCGTTCTCAAAGCGTATTAGGGAAATACTAGCTAAAAGCAACAACAGGCATCAGTGGGAAAACCTGAAATCTTTTAAATTTAGCGTAATTTGTGGTCATTCTCTTTCTTTTTTCTTTCCTTAGACAGTAAGAAATGGGTGACTGGAGTTTCTTGGGGAACATTTTAGAGCAGGTGAACGAGCAATCCACTGTCATCGGGAGAGTGTGGCTCACAGTGCTCTTCATTTTCCGCATCTTGATCCTGGGAACAGCTGCCGAACTCGTGTGGGGAGACGAACAGTCAGACTTTGTGTGCAACACCCAGCAACCCGGTTGCGAGAACGTCTGCTACGATGAGGCCTTCCCCATCTCCCACATCCGGCTCTGGGTCCTGCAGATCATTTTTGTATCCACGCCTTCGCTAATGTACTTTGGGCATGCTGTGCATCACGTCCGCATGGAGGAGAAGAGGAGAGAGAGAGAGGAAGCTGAGAAGCGACAGCAAGCTGAGATGGACGAAGAGAAGCTGCCCCTGGCTCCAAATCAAAACAAAGGCAACAACCCTGATGGGACCAAGAAGTTTCGCCTGGAGGGTACCCTCCTGAGAACCTACATCTTCCACATCATTTTCAAAACCCTCTTTGAGGTGGGATTCATAGTAGGTCAGTATTTCCTGTACGGCTTCCGAATTCTCCCCCTTTACCGCTGTGGGCGGTGGCCCTGTCCCAATCTTGTGGACTGTTTTGTCTCCAGGCCCACGGAGAAGACCATCTTTATTATGTTCATGCTGGTGGTGGCTTCTGTGTCCCTCTTTCTCAACCTGGTGGAGATCAGTCACTTGATCTTGAAACGGATCCGGAAGGCTCTGAGAAGACCAGCGGAGGAACAGATTGGGGAGATCCCGGAGAAGCCCCTCCCTGCCATCACAGTCACCTCCATCCCAAAAGCCAAAGGCTACAAGCTGCTGGAAGAAGAGAAGCCAGTGTCCCACTATTTCCCTCTCACGGAAGTAGGGGTTGAGCCCAGTCCCCTTCCATCAGCCTTCAATGAGTTTGAGGAGAAGATTGGGATGGGACCATTGGAAGATCTCTCCAGGGCATTCGATGAGAGGTTACCATCGTATGCACAAGTGAAGGAACCGGAAGAGGAGAAGGTAAGAGCAGAGGAGGAGGAGGAACAAGAAGAGGAGCAGCTGGGACCTCGGGAAGAGCCAGGGGTGAAGAAAGTAGAGGAGGTGGTGAGTGATGAAGTGGAAGGCCCTTCAGCACCTGCTGAACTCGCCACTGATATGAGACCCCTCAGCAGGCTAAGTAAAGCCAGCAGCCGGGCCAGGTCAGATGATTTGACTGTATGAAGGTGCAGGATACAGGCAGCACATGAAAAGGAAAAAGTTGAAGAGAAAAGGAGAGATGGAGAAAGAATCAAAAGATATTTTTAAGCAAAGTGCTAAAATGGTCATTTGAATATCAGATTCTCAACTAGAGAGGTACTATCATGGTAACCGTGCCTTAGTTGCCCTGTATGCCCATTTGAAAAGGAACATTTTCTCTGTTTCCACATGCCAGATCACTCCTTACAGTAATATCTACACTATACACAAACTGATGCATTTTAAAACCTAACATGGCAGTGAACCCCAAATGTCACCACTGTGAACGTATTTACTGGAAGCTTTGTGTTCCACATTTCTCTAGGAAGGTAGGGAAGATCTGTCCCTTCAGCCAGCGAGGGGGAAGACTGATCAACAACTGTATTCAGTATTTCTTTTTCTATTTCCACCTATGGCATGCTGAGCAGATGTCCCCTTTGCTGTTGGCATGGAATTGCAGTTATTTAATTCACAAAGTGAATTCTGTGCTTAGCATCACCATGCTAAAATGGTAAGCACCATTTCCCTTCTCTTTTCAGGAAATAAAGGCCAAAATGTCCCCAGTTTCTCTGTGAATGCAAATCTGACTTAAGTAAAAATATTTTCCCTTTGCCAAAAATATTTCTGCTTTTCAAGTGACATTGGCAGTGGGCAAGGTTAACAGTAGCTCTCTACTAGGATTTAGCAGATGCCCACAGATGGATTATTTGTTCCCAAGAGGGTCATCCAGCCCTGAGCCTATTTCAGAGCACTGGAAAGAATAAATTCAAGTGGTATTTTTTACTTATATTCTTGTGACTTAAAGATCTGAAACTCAATTTAGTGAAGCAAGCGTGGGAAGGCTTCTGTGAAAGGAGGAAACAGCTACAGCCCCCAGAGTAGGAAACCAAGTATATGCCTTCATGGCACAATCCTGACATGTGCTCAGTTCCTGGAGCTCCCAGACTTACAGGCACTCAGCAAATCTCAGGTACAGAGTCCCAAAGGCACCTGTGAACCTAAACCAGGGGGCTGGGTAACTATGTGACTATTTGAACCTCTAAATACAAAACTGGTTGTTCAAGTTTGAAAACTCTGATGTGATAATAATCTTTTGACATCCTTTGTTTTTAACTTGATAGATAGGAGCCATCCAGGGGTCTAATTCCCTATTAAATGCCAAAGTCTCAAGTAAAACAAGGCCTTTCAAAAGATGATTTAGACCTTTTGTGCCAACGGGTCTGTACAGAACTCTCAGAGCCTCAGCAAAATCTTTTTTTTGTTACAAAAGGCAGAAAAGCATTTGCTTGCAAACATGTAAATGTCTGTGGATTTCTAATTTTAGGACTACAGCAGTACCTTTTGGCTGGGACAGCGCAGCAATGCGTTCAAAGGCTTCAGGTCAACAGCCATGTCCCCCCAAAACTGAGCCTCATGCCAGAAAAGTGCAGGTATGCACTCTCATCTGCTCTGCTCTGCAAACCTCAGACCCTGCCAGCTCAGCAAATTCTTTCTGCTGGGCTGAAGCCCATCCCATTGTTCCCAGGGCAGGCTCTAATCCAGGTCAGGGAAAAAATGGCCTTTGGCATAATGCATAAAACTCTCATCCTGCTATTAGCTAGAAAAGACCCTCTGCGGTCTCCCATTGTAGCAGGGCTGACTCCCAGCCCATTGAAGTCCAACGGGTGGCCGAGAGAGCTCTGGGTAGGCTTGGGCTCAAGTCGCCTGTCCTGCTGCCCTGTGTCCCAGCCCCAGCAGCCACCAGTATGGTCAGGTCCGTCACTCCCTGATCCAGCCTCTTTGGTGGAGTTTCCCTGCCTTGTTCCACAGCTGCCCTATATGAGCGCGAAGTTGGCTAGACTTCACGGCGCAGTGAAGTAAGCTGTACATATGTAGAAAGTTTGTAGGGTGCATTGGGATTCTTCAGCACCATAGCGGTGCCACATATATATTTTTTAAATATACTATTAATCCTTTTGCTCCCCTTGGGCCTCTGTATTTTCCCGAGGTTTCCAGCCTGAGGACAAAATCTTTGCTCTCTGGACAAAGGCTGTTCGGTCGTCCTTCCTTGTGAAGGAAGACTGAAAGTTACCTCCAGACCTTCCAGTTACCTGGAAGTTTTGGGAAGGAATATGACAAAGCAACACATGTAAAGGAACATGCAGAGAGAGACTCTGGAGCTCTCTTAATTCAGAAACAGCAGAGCAGTTTACACAAATGAAAGGCGACTGAGAAAAGAGAATGTTTTTCAGAAGGAAGAGTCTACTGTGCCCAATTCAAGATACTAGAATTCAAGAAAGGGCAAAGATTTAGATGAACAGCAAAGTGCTGTTCAAAAAAAAAACAAAACAGCACTTAAACTAGATGGGATCTAGTACTTTTTATTTTCTTCATAGAAAGATAGAGTTTTAACGGTTCGAAGCATAAACCAGCCCGCTTGTTGAAGGGGGTTGGAAACACTTTTCGGTAGATAAAAAACAAATCCTGTAACGGTTCAATATGAGGTACCTTTTGCCTTCAGCATCTGACCCTTCCAGATACCAATGTACTGGACTAGATGAATCACCCCCACCCTTGTTAACCTCTAATTACTTGACAAGTCCTTTTACATACCAGGTATTTTAATAACCATCCTTGTTCCTGACCTCTGACGAGCATACCTTCATTAGATCACTGGACTGCTTAAGATGAGTGCTTATTCATCAGAGGTATATGGTTCACAATATCATCAGACGTTGAGTATGTCATTCTGTTTCACTGGAGTGCCTCAGTATAATGCACTGTATGCAAGGTACTCAATGGACACTGTCATTCTTTCTTCCTCTGGGTCACAACAGCACAATGAAACAAGCCAGTGTTTTCCTTCTGCATCCAGTCAACTGCTTGTCAATTATTTTTTTTCAAGTACTCTGCCAGGCTGCTGGAGAACCTGTAGCCACCAACTACGAGCCACGGCATCAAGACAGATTTTCTCAGCAAACTGAGCAGGGAACTAACAGTCCAATCTTCTGATGTTCAGCCTCATCTCTGCAATGAAATCACTGTGGGACTGTCAGCAAGTCATTCTTCCTTCTTGTACAATTGGGAATCACATTCTACCTCACAAAGACAATGTGAGGCTTGATACATTGTGCTAGTAATAGAATGGGAGGTCCTTGGATGGAAGGCCCTACAGAGGAGCAAAGGATTATTGCTATTTCTGGATGTGATAGCATATAAATGTGTTTTATTCCTTCTCAATGAGACAAATGTAATCATTTATTCAAGAAATTCCTAGTGAAGTTGCATAACAGCCTCAGAGCTGTGGATTCAGTGTATGATTCTACTAAAAAATAATTAAGCAAAACATAGATATGTATGTAAAGAACAGGGAGAATTATCTTCTTGGGAAGGGGGAAGTCACTGGACAATTAGAGCCATGCCTGGATCATTTAAAGGTGTGTGGACCCTCTTGGCTCTCTGTGCAAATAAATTACAAACTGATCACGTGGCTCTCTGCATGGAGCATAAGATGCAAGTGTCAAAATCACCAAAGGAGGTGAAAGTAGAAGAGAAAGGTAGTGTCTTAGCTTACAATAGCATGTGGGAGTTGGTGTTCTCTAGTGTCTAGAGCAGTGGACCTAGGATAATAATCTTAGATTTATTTCCAACTCTGCTGCTGACTTGCTGTGATAATCACTTTACCTCTCAGTGCCTGTTTTCTCCACCTGTAAAATGGGTGTAAGAATTCCCACCTACCTCACAGGGATGTTGTGAGGCTTCCTTAATTCTGTTTGTAAAGTAAGTAGGAATGATCTGATGAAAAGAACTACTGAAATGCATGGTATCTTTGTTATTTCCTGGCAGAACTGCTAACTTGCTTAATATATGACTCCTTGACCAGAAGGGCAGAAATTTGAAAATGTGAATGCTGCATTGCACTGACAACGTCAACACAGATGTGGACTTGCCATGAGTAAAAAAAACTCCATTGATCCCTCACCCCTTTCTCCCATGTTAGCTTTGGCCTGGCCATATGAAGAAGCAGTGACAGTGTGGTTACATGGACCTCTCTTCTCCATCCTCAGCATCCATTCCGGGGCTGTATTTGTTCCTAGAGGAGGGTGAAGGTTGGTGGAGGTCTAACCATTTTAAGGTCTCTGCAAGGCATGTGGGGGAAGGTGGTATAGTGCAAAATATTGCTGGGCTTCTGTTATAAATCACTCAGTGCAAACTCCAAGTAAATTTTCCAGAGTCTCCATGGAACAGTTTACAATTGCTTATGGCCCACAGAAAAAAAATCCACCTTTCATGAAGGCAAACCCACAAATTATCATATTATACTGACTCTCTCCTCTAAGTGAGATAGATACCAATGATCTCTTAGTCTTGAAACACAATGAGGCACAGATTCCTCCTCCCGTAGGTAGAGGGGGGAGAATCTCTGCTCTCTGGGTCTGCGTGGGCATGAAATCTACTTACTGAGGGAGGAAAGTCCAGTCTCTCCTGCCACCCAGTAACTCACTGACTGTGCAGTTTTACATTTAAAGAGCGGCTGTGTCACACAGCACTGAAAAAAGTGGCAGTTTGCTGTTTTGTATAGAAAATGGCTTTTCAGGCTAACAACTGAAAGTAATCCTAGCCTAGGCGCAGTTTTGTTCAGTAAAGGCAGGACCATCCATGAGAACTAGACTAAATCCTTCCTATAAGCCCGAGGCAGTTGTGATAAAGCAGTATATGGTGCCAGATTTCCTGAGGGCCGGGGTTGGATAAATGATCCAAAATCAGTGAACTTCTCTAAGTACCGGAATAATTTTTTTCCCCAGCAGAATGACACTACCATTTCTTAGGCTCTGTGTGTGCTACACCTTTTAATATGGCTCAGGAAAGGCTTTTTGCCAACACCAAATGTGCTGATACAGTTGACTAGTAACCATGGCAAATAAATGTGTGTTGACTTGCCAACACGTAGCCTGGCACACAGTCCTTTCCTTGCAACTAGCTTGGCATGTACCTATTTCAGCAGAACAGGCAAGACTCACATCTCTGTCAACAATTTGAGTTTTTCTCTCAGCAGCTTGATATACAAAGAGACACTGAAGCTCTCTTCGTCTTAGAGGGGAGGAGGCTAAGAGGGTGGGGACGTCTAACTGCTGTCTTTGGTTGCCTAATGGGGAGTTACAAGGAAGATGGAGCCAGGCTCTCAACAAGAGGTGCACAGCAAAAGATGAGGCAATGATCACAAGGAGCAGCAAGGAAAAATTTGACTAAAAAAATCTGACAAGGAAAAAAAATTGTTCATAAAGCAGGTGCCCAGAAACATGGTGGGATCTCCATCCTTGAAGGAAGAAGCCTGACTGGGAAAAGCATTGAGCACCCTGGTCTGATGTTAGCCTTGTGTTGAGCTTAAATTTGGACCAGCTGGTCCCTTCCAGCCTGAACTGGAACTATCCATCCCATGGGAGGCTGAAAGCTCAGTGCAGCCACTGTGTGGTGGAACAATGGGTGTGGGGTACTTTCTGCTTCTCTGGGGTGTTCTGGTAGAGTTTGCTTAGACGGTCCCAGCAGGCAACACCAACTAACTGTGAACCGCAGCAGAGGCCAATGCACAAACACAGTCAACTGATATTTGGTAGCTAGAAAGCGGCTTGAGGCGAGAACCATGTGTTGTATAACTGGTTTGGAAAGAGCATTACAAATAAAATAAAAAAAAAAAAAAGAAAAGAGTGTGCTTGTCAACAGAGAAAATGATGGAAATATAAGGGGCTTAGGTCTTTCAGCTCCCTTTAATTTCAGTGTCAAGTGTGCCTTTAAATGCATCTGAAAGTGCAGAGAACTGCATTTTAACATTCTGTCAACAAAAACTGGTGTATTTTAAAGCTTGCTGATCTGGGATGGAGCAGAACTGAATAGAAATGGTGATTACAAAGATACTGACAGAACATTTTGAAAAAAGCACAACAAAGACCGTTGGCCTTTGCCCCGTTAGATCCAGCCTGGCACAGTAAAAGCAAAACAAGCCATTTTTTGGGGGAAAGAATATATTGCTTGGAAAAGTCATGGAGTAGCCTACTGAAAAACTTTTAAGTCAATACAGCAAAGAATTTGTGGTGAAACATTAAACAGAAAAGTTGGTTCCTATGGCGTTTCCCTGAAGCTCAGGGCACAGCTGGAGGATGACTGGGATAAGGAAATCCAGTTACAAATGGGCATACCAAAAAATCCTGGATTATGGGCAGTTGTGGGGCAGAGGCTGTCCAGGAGGGCAGCAGGAATCCCAGGTGGCAGCACTGGATGCCAGCTGATGGGCTGGCTGCAGGCAAAGGCTGAAGCATAGAAGCCTGCAGGCTACTCAGCCGAGAACCTCATTGTAAGGGTACGGCACACCAGCCTCAGACACAAATGAAACCCAGCCTGTTACCAAATCTGGTATTTCTGGATTTTAAGAAGGTCAGCGACTTTAAAATTTAATTGAACGTTTTTGCACTGGTTCCTCTATTTACCTGGTAGAATCAAGAACCAGAACTAGCATGGGCAAAGCTTTTTTCCCCCAATCCTTCTATTTAAGTATTTGAAGAATTAGTGGGACAAAAACGTTCAGGCAAGGTTTTTAATACATATATTTCAGTTCAAAGAAAAGACATAGACAACCCCATAAAGGAATTAACCTATTGCCAGTGAACATCATCATCTGAGCTCAACCACAGATAAATTCAAAAGAAATTCAGAAATTGGAATAATGTTGGATTACTCCCAGCTTCAGAGCTCCTGTTTATGAAAACTTCTGGAGAGAAGAGAAAAGAAAATGGATGGCTGGCTGCCAGCTAAGCCTATTTGTCATGAATATGCCCCTAGCACCTTCTGGAAACCTGTGCTATTTCTAAATATACTCTTGGCCAACAAACTGCTTTAATTAAATATGCCCCACCTTTCTGCTCTACTTGAAAAACTTTACCTTAGTTCTCTCTATAAACTGAACATAAAAGAGCTACATTGACACTTTAGTATGTGGAAGAATAAAATATGGAACTAAGTGGAAACCTGTCAATGCACTGACGAGCCCTTCTTCCCCATCTGCTGCCTCTCCTCTCTGTCCACCTCCATCTATATTCTGCTTAATGAAACTACCAGCCTCTCACAATGGAGAAGTTGCCTTTGTACCCATGGGTTACCACGGACCCTTCTCCCCACACCAGTGGCTATCTAAGGAGCAGCAATGCGGAATAAATTTCCCATTTTCTTTTTACACTTTTTGTCTTCTCTGAAGGAGAAGTCCTGGGGCTGGGAGGTGGATTGGAGTTTTGCCAGTAGGAATTATCTTCTTCCCTGTGTGTTTCTCCCAAGACTCAGGGATCGTGATTTACAGCTATACAGAGGTATGTTTCAAGCCTATTTATAAACACATGTAAAGAAGAAAGTTTAAAGACCTATGACCAAACTCTGCCTTGTTTTTTAACCTTGTGTTGAAGTGAGCGGAGTTGCCAAGGTGTAAACAAGAGCAGAATTTGGCTTTGTATAATTCATTTTTAAAGGATTTCCTGTTAACTTACATCTTTAAAAAACAACCAACAACTAACCTTGCTCCACAACCTACCTATACAGAAGAAAACAACTACAAATCCCTGCAAACTCAGGAATCTCATCACTTCAGGAAAGATAAGTTTCCAAGTAGCAGATATAGAAAGGAAGAACAGGGGAGCTCAGATCTCAGCTCTGCATTAATTGGCAGCAAAACCAGAAGCTGGGAACAAAAAAAAAAAAAGGCTCAAATCAGATACGATAATGTGCTCCCTCAGTTCATTTCCCTGTGAAAGCTGAATGTTGTTTTCTCTTTGCGATGCTGTAGACAAGGAGACAAATTTCAAACCAAGGCGACTGACAGCAAGACAGAGAGCCAAACAACGAAGGAGACTGTGGGACTGATTCAGTAACTTGGCACAACCAGACGTAGATTTGCTTTCCTAGTGAAATGAGTTGTAATGAATAAAGGTTCCTGACTTTCAATCAGCGGGGGCTCTGTGCTTTGTTAAACTCCCAAGTAACCCTGTTTGATTCTTTCTCTTCCCGTATGATTTATTATTCCTAATGTAGAGAGTTTTGAGTGGCAAAGGTTAGGAGTGTTTTTAAGAGGAAAAAAGAGACAGACGACTTAAGTTCAAGCAGGGACATGACTGTGACATGAAGGATTGGCTCCCACTCACACCGATAAGCATCAGGAAATTCCCTGTTTGAGCTTTTACTTCCCTTCTGGCCCCATTCCCTGGTACCTTATAACGGCAAGGCCTGAAAGGCATCCCCAGCCCCTGCCCGGCTCCGGGCGCAGGGGGAGGACGCCAAGGGCCCCAGGGGGGAGATCCATCTCCCTTTGGGTGGGGAGATGGGCCCGGAGCCCTCGCCACTCTCGCACCGGAGTCAAATCGGTGCTAAAACGGCAGAGCGGTGCTTGCGCCTCCCTCCCACCCGGCCGGCAGCAGGACACCATCCCTCGGCTGCCCCTGCACACGGAGGGGCACCCCCCGCCCTGGCCGGGGCAAAGGGGCCAGGTTTCCTCCAGAGGTGCCGCTCAGAGGGCTGACCCCAGCCGTCGGGCCCGCTCGTGTGTGTCCCCATGCCAGGGTAGACCGTGGATGCAACAACGCGCTTGTGTCCCGCCATCCCCGCCCGGCTGGGGCTGGGCCCCCTGAGGGGCGGAGCCTATTACACCGCCCCGCCCACGCCCCTCGTTCGGCCACGCCCCCAACATTGACCACGCCCCCGGCCGGGCTGAGGCAGGCACTCGCGCGCCTGCGCACGGTAGCCCCCGGGGCGAGCGCGGGGCCGGAAGCAGGGCGAGCGGCGGCGACGCCGGTGGCCGCCATGAGCTTCCTCATCGACTCCAGCATCATGGTCACCTCCCAGGTACCTCCGCTGCTGCGCGGCGCGGCGCTCCTTCTCCCTTCACGGGCGGCGGGGGGCGCGGGCGAGGCGGGTCTCGCCGCCGCGGCCTGGCCCGCGCGCCGCCCCCTCTGGAAGCGTCCGTTGGGAGCGCGCTGGGGGGGGAGGCGGTGCCTGCGGGGGTGCGCACGCGCGGCCTCCCGGTGCGCGCGGGGCTGTGAGGCGGCGGCTGGAGCGGGGCATGGCAGGACGCCGAGCGGCGGCAACCCCCAAAGCCGTGGCCGTTGCCGCTGCCTTCCGCCCTCGCCTCGCTGCTCGGGCCCCCTCGGCCTCGCCTGCTGAGGGAGAGGGGAGGGCCCGGCTGCCTCTCCCCAGCCGCCGCTCAGCAGCCAAAGTGAAAGAAGCCAGACCGCCTCCCCGGCTCTCGGCTGCGCCTGGAGGGGTGTTGGGCTGCAAAGCTTGTGTCCTTGTGGCCGCCCCCCCCTCTCGCGTCGCCTGAGCTCCCGTCGCAGGGGAAGATAAGGCGTGCCCATCTTTGGACCCCTTCCTTACGTGTCACACTGACCGTTGCCCTCCTGCTGTTGTCGAGTCAGAATGTAATGCATAAAGAGGTTCAGTAAATAGGGTTGTGGGGAATGGTACTTTTCTTGTAGTAGTGCATCACTTCTATACATTTAACTTTTATTTGTTGGGACAGACAAGAAAGTTGGTATTCTCTCTATAGTAGTTACTTTGTTTCTGATATTCTTCAGGAAGGCTAGTCATTTATATCTACTACCCCTGCTTTGCTACTGAGGAGCTCGCTTGTTTACATCTTTGGAAGATTTTTAATGATCTTCTTTGAGGCAGTTAAAAGGACACCACTAAAAAGCCTCCATCTCCATTGATCCATCTGTGATTCAGCACTTCCTTCAGCTTTTTCTTTCTGCTGCCATCAGAGTCATCTTTCAACTAGTTGTACACCAGCTGAAGTCGCCTAGGAACCCCTTAAAACATTTAATATCATGTCATCTTTATCATTACAAAGTGGTCTTAACATACATAAATACCCTCTACTTCTTAATTAGCTTCCTTTGCTACTATTTTGTCTTGCCATTGTGTTCTCTTTGACTGTTCTCTCCCTCTTGCTACCCTACTCTCTCCTCAGTAAGCATCTATCCTTTCTTCCTGTCTACCTCTGGCAACTGAAGTGGTCCAACTGTTCCCTTATGCCAGAAGGAGAAAACTCTGCTCCCTCTTCACTTCTTCTTTGCTGCACAGTCATACTCTCTTATTTGTGCTCTCTTCAGTATTTGGTTTAACTAAGTTTAATGGGATCACAGAGGGATCTGATAAGCTTCAGAGCTAGTGTGAAATTTTTGTTCTGTAATGAGGAGGGATGATCTGAAGAAAGAGGACCTTTCCCCTCTCAACGGAGTTGGTTGTCTTACATAGACTTTCATGCACAGCTCGCTCTTTTCTTGATAGTTTTCAGGACAGCTTTTGGCCATTAGAGGCACAGTGTCCTCCTACTTGATAATGCTTTGATTTTTGCTATCAGTTGCTTTGCATTCTAAGATCTAACTTACCAAATTGCTTTTCTTTCATTTTTGATGGCAGCTTTGCGTCTTCCCATCATCTTCAGAAGTATCAAGCTAGATACTTAAATTGCTGCATGTAATTGTCAAATGCTCAAGAATTTTCTGACTTATCACATTCACCTGTGGTGTCTTAGAGTGTGAATTCTTAACATACGTCTTTCTGTGCTTTGGTACAGTCCTTAACACAAGGGAAATCTAATCTTTATATATATGTTCTGTTACTGTTGTACTTGATTATCTCCTCTTCTCTTTCTTTTACTTTATTTACTTGTTTCATTTTTAAAGTGTTTGTCCTTACCTTTTTCCTCTTTTACATTGTTAAACGTGGAATTAGTTTCTGTAAATATCACTTGCTTATCAGACTTCTTTGACTTATGACCTGTAAGTAGGAGGCTTGTGGAGTATCTTACCTTGTTCTTTTTGCTATCAATTACTTTAAAGTCTGAAGTCCTCCTGAAACAAGTTTTGCCAGCTGTTACTAATCACTAGACCTCATTCCTGTTTCAGTGGTCTTTCAAGGCAAATATATTTGATCTTCCTTGTCCAGCTTTCCAAGTATTCTTTGCCAGTAAATCACATTCTTCTGTTACTACTTTCGCTGCTGGGATCCAGTTGCTGCTGGTGCACAGTGGAATTGTCCATAATGATTCCTGCATTTTGTCTTTGAAAGTTTCCTGCCTCCATAGGGGCTCAGAATGCTCTGGCTTTTCCCATGTGCTCTTGAGAAGAAATACTGTCTTTGTCCTATGCTTTCTGACATATATCGATTTTTCTCCTTGCTTTGGTCAAAACTGCCCTTATAAAAAATATTTAGCATCTTCTGAATTCTCATTTTGCTTGGATTCTTTTAAATCATTACACTGCTTTTCAGTCTTCTGCAGAATAGACAGGGCTACCCATGGAAGACCTGACAACCCTTTTTTTTTTTTGGCTAAAGATAGGTAATTACAGTTTTGACCACATTGCTTAATTTGTATTTATTTCATTTAACTCATCTGCAAAATAGCTGTGATATGAAGTCCGTCTCCTCAGGTATCCGTTGAAACTTAATAAATTTTATAAAGTGCTCCGAGAGCCTCTGAGAGAAGCATTATTGGCTTGTCCTGCTTTACCTACCTTTTCAAATGTGGCGTTCTGCAACTCTGGATTGTGGTTTGAGGCGTTCAACTCTGCCTTTTCTCTACCTTAAAGATGCTTTTAACACCTTTCTTCCAGATTGTGTCAGTGTATAACCAAATCTAGTGTTAAAACCTCTCCATAAAAATCAAATGTTCTTCTAGTCTTAGAGAAACAGCAAATATTTTTATAAAATTTGCTCATCTGTAGAAGATGTATATGTTGCGAACATTCAGGACATCAAGGTTTACTTTGCCTCCATTACTGTGTTTCCTGTAAAACTTACAAGCTTTAATTCTGTAGAATAGAAGAGTGAAACAAGAATCAACACTGCCAAGGATTGTGGAAGGTCAGGAACTGAGGAATTCTGAGAACTTGGGAATGCAGAAATGTGCTGTCTTGACTGGATCTTTTGTAAGGTCATAGCCTGTGTCTGCTGCACTTGAATATTTGAAATACTATTCTCTCCATGATACCGTGGAAAGTTTTAATCTTTTGTGGATCTTGGGTACTTTGGCCCAGCTCTTTTCCTTCCATTTCTTTCACCTATGGTTAGTAGTGAAGTAGGTTTGTGTTTCGCAAGTTGCTGGTTACAGATGTTAATTGCTTCATCTCTTCTGCAGGTGCTGTTCTTTGGATTTGGGTGGCTATTCTTCATGCGTAAGCTCTTCAAGGATTATGAGGTGAGTAGGAGCCTTTCATTGCAATTCTGTATCTTAAAAATTACTCCCAATTATAGGAATATTTTTGAAACTGCATTTGTCCTGCCTCTTTAAAGCCCTCTTATCTTATTTTTAATTGTCTCTACAGTTACTGTCTTCTTAATTTCCTCTTTTGCTTCTGTTTGAAAGACTTCTAGATATCTGAGAAAATGGGTGGTTCTAGGGCCAGTGAAAGTTCCCGTATTGGCTACTGTTAAATGAAAAAAAAATGGAGGAGGGCAGGGGTAGTGGGAAGCTCTTTTGCCTTTTTCTCGAGTAAGCCTGCCTTGTGTAAGTGTAAACTTCTTGTGCCAAAATCAAATTCAGTGGTTAACTTTAAACTCAGTGAGGTATATTCATTGTGGCTGAATTGTTTGTGAGGATTGGATGGAATAAAACCATTGCATTCTCTTATCCTTAGAGGGATAATGAGAGAACATAGTCTAGGTCAGAGATGCCTTAAGCGTGGGCCAGATTTAAATAGTTTTTCTGATACGGATCTTATTTTTAAATCTAAGGTTAAGATCCAAGAACTGTGTTAGCAAGGGTCTCTCATTAGTCAGGTTGACATAGGGCATTGCATGCTTGACATCCCCTCTGTGTAAGGCATCTCTGTTAAATGTGCCAGTAGCTGAAATCAGTGTAACACTAAGGAACTTACGAGTTTGCCCTGTGCTTTCTAACGGGCTGTTAGTTCCTTCCTGTTTAGGTAAAGGGCAAGGTACCTTGAAGCAAGAGACCCAGCTGTGTGCCATTGTACCTTGTGATTTGTTTTTTGTTACCTGGGGAGATATCTGGGTGCCGTTCTAGGAATGGAAATACCTGATGTCTCTGGCTTGTTTTCTCCACTGCAGGTGCGACAGTATGTGGTCCAGGTGATCTTCTCTGTGACTTTTGCCTTCTCTTGTACCATGTTTGAACTCATCATCTTTGAGATTTTGGGTGTCCTGAACAGCAGGTGAGTGTGGGAGCTCACTGAAGGACTAGCCTGCCTTGTGTTGAGCAGCTTCAGTCCAACTCCTAAATGAATGGATTAGCCTTAGATTGGGGAAATTGAGAAAATTGTCAACAGCTCAGCAAAGATGTTTGAGCAGCAGGATTTGTTTATTTGACAGAACATGAGACTAGAAGTCATAAGCTCCCCATTTTTCATGCAGTTGCTATTAGTGTGGTCTAGGTCCTTAGGGCAAGGCTTTAGTCTTTGAATTTTTCCATTTGTGAAGTTAAAAGACGTGGTTTCTTTTATGGGAGTGTTGTGAAGCTTCAGATCATGTTGAAGAGCACTTTTCAGCTGTTAAGGACTATAGAAACTATAGGCAGTAGTTTTTCTGTGGTGGTCAGAGCAGTGAATAAGATGTGAAGCTAATTATGGAGTGAAAACTACTTCTGTATAATATGGTATTTGTGAATCAAAGGCGTGTCCTCCCTTGACATAGGGTGAAGACTTCTACATAAAGGGGATGTTAAAAAATGTCAACTTCCGAAGTCAATAGGAAAGAGAAGATAGAACAGTAACACGTAGAGGCTAGCTGGGTTTCCCATTTATTCTCTCTCATCACACTAGTATAAGAGAGCAGTCAAAGGAATTGAAAGGCAAGAAATATAAAACTGAGAAGAGGTAATGTAAGTTCTGACTGTGTGTCATTAATCGGTAGTGCGTGCAGCCAGAGACATCACTGAGGAGAGTGCTTTTATAAGCTTCGATAAAGGGCTGGACATCAGTATAGATGAAAACGTTTGCCTCTGAATTAGGTAGGAAAAAGTGACAAGGGCCCTCATAATTTCACTTCCACCAGGCATAAGAGGGACTGAGTTAATATTGGGAACAGGACATGTATTTTTTTTATTCAAACAATGAAAAGTTAGCTCAGCCAAGGTCAATCTCGTCTGCATTTGACTAATCTCCTTTGGTCAGACAAGTATTGATCATTTTGGTATAGATGTGTATTTTTAAATTCTTGCTTTGCAGTGTCTTGCACATGAGACAACTTGCTTTGAAGTGAAACATGTTGAATTATGAACATTTAATATTTTCAATTTGAATTAGCCCTTTTTTGACTCTGCCACTCATTACAAAATTAATTACTGCTTATACTTAGTTTGGACTTACTGTTCAACTAGAGAAGCAGTAAACGAAATGAATCGTGGTACAACTGGCATTAGCCAGTGTAGAAAATACAGTGTTTGATAAAATGACCTGGTGTGTTTTTCTGGATAGTTGTTAATTTTGAAATACACATTCTTGAGCTCTGCATTAAAAACTCAAACAACAGAGCAACCAACCTCCCTTCAAGACAAACAACAAACAAAATCCAGAATGTTCTATATGCTGGGCCAATATTATTCAATGTTTGATTCAGTTGAAAGGATCTCACCGACATGCAATTGTGTTTGAGAAACTTGTGATACTAATCATAGCATAGCATGCTAATCGGTATTTTGGCTTTATTTTAGCTCTCGGTATTTTCATTGGAAGCTGAACCTGTGTGTCATCCTTCTCATCCTAGTCTTCATGGTACCCTTCTACATCGGTTACTTTGTTGTGAGCAATATCAGACTATGTGAGTACTTGGTTTATGGCAATGGGGCTGCTAATTTGAGACTATGCATGCAAATGAGAAATAACTTTTCTGAGAGAGAGATGTGTTGGTCACTATCCCCGTAGCTCCCTGCTTCCCAGAAAGACGTAGCTAAGTGTTCCCCTGTTCACAGTGCAGCCCTCCTCACATGTCCGTGGGCAAAAAGCCAAAGTGGTGTGTTGCTGCATTTGCTCCTGCAGACGGTGGTGTCTCAAACAGCTGGTTCTGTAGGAAGTGGAGGGGTGCATGCTGCTGGCTGCAGCTCTCTCAGTTGACACCTGTTTTGGGCATGCTCAAAGTAGCCTTTAGATCGATGTAGCAATTTTGCAAGCTTGAAAGAGCCCTAAAGAAAGAACTTTAAAATACTGTTGTGGTTTTTTTTCTCTCCATTAGTGCACAGACAGAAACTTCTTTTTGCATGTGTTCTGTGGTTGACGTTCATGTATTTCTTCTGGAAGCTGGGGGATCCATTTCCTATCCTCAGCCCAAAACATGGTGAGTTTCATATTCTCTCTCCTTCCTTTCCTCCTGAAAACAGGCTTTGTTATCTCACTTTTAACTTGGAGCTGTTCTTATGTTATCTCAGCTCTACAGCTGGGACTGTAGAACGTAGTTCTTGCAACTGGGGGCCTGCAGTGCTTTGAAATCTGCAACGTGAAGGTTGTCAGACCCACAGAAATGGGTGGATATACCTTGAATTATTTGCATTAGTTTTCTTCCAATACCACAGGAAAACTTCAGGGAAGAGGATGAGTCCTAACCAAACCTAGTGTATGTAAGAACACTGTACTTTTTGAGGACTTTCCTTCATCTTCACAAAAAGTTGATCACAATTTTTATTAACTGGTTTCTCTTCTTATCTAAGAAGAGAATTGACAACCAATGCTTTGGTCCGATTATTGTTTCTTGTGACTGAAATCAGATAAATTTAAGATAGGTGGCCATCCAGTTGACAAAACATGGCAGGGTGCCTAAACACCAGAGCTATATAGACTGTAGCCAGCAACACGTCTGGCAGCGCCTGCTGGCTTTGGTACAGCTTTGTACACTGCCCGAGCCCGGAGGCAGCACAGTGGCCTGGTACTAGAAAGTGAGTTGGTACGTTCTGCTGAATGCCAGAGCTATTTATGTGCAGAATTAGCTTGGGTATCTCTGCATTGCAGTCAGGGAACCAGGAGTATTTATAGTGTGAAGATACTGTGTGCACTTGGGCTAGTTTCTGTCCAACAGAGATTGTTAGCGTGTGCCTAACTGTACTGAATCCTGCGTCAGCTTAATCTTTCTGTTCTCTAGAAGGCTGCTTTACTCTGTACTCTTTGTAAGAGGAAAAATTGAAGGATACCAAATGCTGTCGGGTCTACTCACCTTTTCACCTGTGATCCTAAAACTTTTCTAGGAGAAAGTGTGTATCTATGTTTTGTAATTGTGTCATTTGCCACTGAAATACAAGGACCGGTATTTAGTGCAGATCCCTCTGCCCAGTGTTTCGTTGCCAAGAAAAACGTGTAACCGCTTTGAGTTGTAATAGGCGCTGGAGTCGGCAGAATATAATAACCCAATGGGAATTTAGCCATGGGGTTTAGGTAATCTTTTTCAGATCACTGAGAAGGTTCTGCGAAGCTGCATAACAATTGCAGATTTCCAGAATCTGCAGTGGGGTAGTGGGGTGTTTTCTTTTTTTAACTTATGCTTTACAGGACCATACCTCCATACTTAACAATTGTACAGTGCCTTACCCTACCAGCTCTATAAGGTTAAAGCAAAGGATTCTAGGCTTTTTTTTCCCTTCTGTACTGCTGGGATGCTGCTGTCCTGCGTGTACTTGTGAAGGTACGCCCACAACAGTATTGACAAGGCTTCTGCAGGGCTTTGTTGTGTGGTGGTGATGGCCCAATTGAGACAGGTAGGATCCTGTTGTGGAGCAGACATGACAGGAGGCTATGCTTAAAGAGCCCCTCACACTTGGAGTACATTACCTGTCGTGTCTTTCTTGGTGTGCCCCATCCTGCTCACCTGCATGGTGCTGCGCTGCAGCTGGGGAACTGTGCTGATTAGTGGGACCCTTTCAAGTACCTGCACTGGCATCTGTGCTGGGGGGTGCCTTGCCTGGAGATGGTGATGGCAGCTGGGATGATGGATGGATGATGCTGCAGCTGAGAAATGCACCATCAATCACGGCTCAGAATCAGGAGCCCTGTTTGGTCTGTATCTTGTTTAATAGAGCTGAGTTTGGGAGCTTTAGCTTGTAGTAGAAGGAAGGTTACGCTTTACTCAATTACATACTAGTGTTCTAGGGTTGCTCTGAGTGTTACGGGGAAGCATGGCTTTAACCAGTGGAATGTCATGTCATTTTGAAGCCACCTCTTTTTTAACTGCTGCTGTCTGAAAGTGTATGGGGCAAAAGGCCAGTCTATTGTAGCACATTCTGTAACTCGTGTAAATCTCTATGCTCTGCACATGACTGGGTGTCTCGGTCTCCCTTTGTGAAGTCTTTTTGCCGTGTTTTCATCATTTATTCCCCTTCTCTGAAGCATGAAATGTGGCTTGGCGCTTGGCCATCTCAGTTTTGCAATCATGTAAGCTCCAAATGTGCTGTGTGTGGCAGCTGCTCTGTAACTAGCTCCTGAAAAAGTGAGTGATGTTCAGTAGCACATGGCACTGTATCCTGAGAAGACAGGTTGAGGTCTGTTTTTAATGGCTGAGAAGAATGAATGCAACTTCGGAGCTTGGTGTTGGTTACAGCACAGGGTTGATGTTCATGCTGTATTATGTGAGTATGTGTTTTAGGGTCCACGTTTGTTCAGGTGGAACGCCTTGTTGGTGGTCACCTTAACAATGTGTGTGTGTCCCCAACATGACTACTGACCAGTCAGGAGCAGCATAAACTTCCTATGCTGTCGTAACTCGACTGTCTGACAAGCACAAATTGTGTCTGGTCTGGAGGGGTCACTTCTAATGACAACTGACAGGATAGGCCTCCTTGCTATGGTTCAGACATTTTTGGGCCAGTTTGCAAGGACTAACTGGTTTGTTAACTCTACGCCTGGTTATTGCAGAAGTGGCTTTGCCGAAGATGCCTCCTTTATAGTGTCTGGTGATGATCTGTGTTCCCACCTCAGCAAAGTGCAATCACTGATGTTTTATTAATTTAGAACCAAAGTATTGACTCTTGGTCCTCTCTAGATCTGTTTTAAGCTTCTTCATAGCTAGAGTTCCCCATCCCTGTTACTAAGCATGGTCACATGCTTTCTGAGGGAGACTTTTTACCTCTTTGTTTTCCTAGTCCCTGACTGTACTTCATATTACCCTGGTCATTGCACTGGGAAGGCAGGTGGATTCATTAAGCAGCTCTGTATGTGTGTGATGTTGTGAAAGCACCAAGTGTGGAGCAGAGTGAAGAGAGCAAGGTTGCTAATGCTGTGTTTTTCCTCTCTCAGGAATCCTGTCTATAGAACAGCTCATCAGCCGTGTAGGTGTGATTGGGGTGACACTCATGGCTTTGCTGTCAGGATTTGGGGCTGTCAACTGTCCGTACACTTACATGTCCTACTTCCTCAGGTAACTGCAGCCTTGTGAAATATTTTGTCCACCATCTTGAGATTTTTCTGCTTTTCCTGTGGCATCGTTTCAAGTTTTGTCATAACTTTTTTTCTGAATCTAGCTATTGCCATGTCTGCATGCTAGAACCATTCCCATTGCATGTTCTCCTTATACAGGCTTCTCTCTTCTTTATTTTGTGGGCATGTGCATATTTCCTCTGAAATGGTATCGCCGGCCTGATCGGGTGTCTTCATTTTGCAGGAACGTGACAGATGCAGATATTCTGGCTTTGGAGCGACGACTTCTTCAGACTATGGACATGATTGTTAGCAAGAAAAAAAGGTGAGAAGGCAGCAGGAGCATGAAATGATTTATTTCAAGGGTTTTCAGTCAGTATGGTATAAAATGAGTTTTGAAATTACTAAAATTATTAGTCCTGTCAGGGCTGTGTGTTCCGGTGAAACAGGTTGCTGAATTGGGTTGAGCTGTGTGGTGTTTCTTTCGCACCTGATGCACAACTTTGTTTGTGGTTTTTTTTTTTTCCCCCCAGGCTTGCACTAAATAGCACCCTTTCTTACTGCAGCAGCACAGATTAGGCTTCCAAGACAAATTGTAACTCTCTGATGGCAACTTGACTAGCCTGTAAGGTGGGCAGCTTTCTCTCCTGCTGAGTAAGCCACCACAGCTGGCCCTCTCACTGGCAGTGTCAGTACTTGCTGTTGGTTCATATGTATTGAGTGCTGCCCTGCTCTGTGGATCTGGTGGTTCCTGGTCAAAACTGAAGCAGGCTAGTGAGTCGGTATGGACGCATTCTTGCAAGTGACAAGGCTTATGTTAGTTCAGTTTTGCAGAATTGCAAAACATTGCTAACATGACTATAGTGTAGTGCACAAGCTTGCCATCAGGACTCAGGTTTTGTTGGTTTAGCTTATTCCATGCACCTCAAGCGAAAAACCTACTTTCAGAAACAATGTAATTACATTCACACATAAAAGATTTTTGTGTGATGTTAAAAATTACATATTACATGCCTTACTATTACCGTAGTCACTTCAGAGGTTTGACTGTCTGACACTGAATTCTCACAGCAGTTCCTCAAACTTTCCTTTTGATGCACTAGTGTTTCAATGGAACCTTTGCATGTGTGACAGGGGACCTTTTTGAGAGTTGAACCTTGCTGACCAGTGTGCAAATCTGCTGATCAGTGTTAGCCTGTGAAAGTGAAAATGTTAAGTGGTGAACAAATGTTAACTCAGTATTGTGGTCATGTGCAAGACTGAAAGTAGTGAGAGAATTTAATTACTCAGGTTTAATTGATTTAATTGATTAGGAGCATACTGAAATACTGGCTTTTAAAAGATATTGTGTAAAGCTGCTTCTGACTGTGCTCTTTTGTACAGTGTTTTTGGACCTCTGGTCTGGGGAGAGTGATGATGGGGTAAAAGTAAGGATGTCTGGGACTTGTAACTGACACTTTCTTGCCTTCCTATGGCCAGGAAATCTTCTGAATATAGCAACTTCCTAACCATTATGAAGAGTGTTAAAGTGTGTTAATATTTGGGGAATTATACTGAGATTCATGTATTTGTGTTTAAAAAACCCAACCAAATGAACAAAAAAATCCCCAGAACTGTGTAGTCTCAGAAATGTGCAAGAAACAGCAGAATCTCGAGTTCTGTAGATTTATTCTTTTTTTGCTTTGACAGAAACAGTGGCTTGCATAGTTGGGCTATTTACCTGTTTGAAGCAAAGCTTAAAAAGTTAGATCTGTATCAGTCCAAATGCAATCCAAGTAATTTGGCAGAACAAGGGGGAATAGCAGTATTTTACAGTGTAGGGTAAACGCTGCACTTCTATTAATTGCCAGTTACTTTCACCTTTTCAGTACTGCTGATAACTCAAGGTTTATGAGGCAATGGAACGTAAAGTTTTTTTGTTTTCTTTGCTGATCTTGAGATTTCCTCTCATACCAACCCTTATTCATGCTGGCTTCCTTGTCAGTAGGAGAGAGTTGTTGGAAGCTGTTTTCCCTGATGCACAGGAATTACTGTTCTCTCCTTCCTGAGTGTAATCAAGTACAAACTTAGGGAAGCTTGCCTCTGAGGTTGGCAAGTTCTTTATACTTGTCCTTTCAGGTATCACGTGACTAAGCCTCAGCTTTGAAATGCTTAGATTCTGTGACACTGTTGCTTCATTTTGCTTCATGTTGAGAGTCAAATCAGCCTGTCTGGTGTAGATACATAATGTGTCTGCACAGGCAAAATGAGTGGGTTTTCCTGTGGATTCTTTCTTTGAGGTCTCCAGAACTCCTGATGACTGTTTGGGTACAGAGATCCCTGTCCCCTCTCAAAAGAAAAGATTTGCTTTCGTAGACTTTTAGCCTTGCTCTTCTCCTTGACACAGTTGCATTTTTGCTGCAATGCTGTGGATCATTTGGGTTGGATTGTGTGAATCGGGTACTGGGAAAAAAGCAAGGATTAAAAATGCAATTCTTGTATTTGGCAGCTATCAAGATGAATTAAATTGTTCTGAGATCTCTGTTATTTGTAGTCTGTAGCCATATGTGCTTTCATGTGTTATGTGGCGTGCCCCAAGGGTGTTTCTTTTGCTGGATGTGAAAGAGGAGTGATTTATTTTTTTTTTTAAATTTTTTTATTACATTGCTTATCAACAACCTTGAAGAGGACTCTGTGCCAAATGTAGCAATACTGGCTGCAGCTACAAGAAAGGGTCTAAACACTGTCGAATCATGAATCACCTTGACAATCCTATGAATAGTTTTCAGCTTAGGAGTGGATAACTGGCTCACAAATTTCAATGGGGAGAAATGTGAGGGAACGAGGCCAGAAGCCAGTACTGCTCGTGGGGATTATGCTGCGCTGCACACGGGGGTGTGAGGGACAATATGCAGCTGCTGCTGTAGTGTTGGAATTAGCTTTAGGAGTCGTGTTCAGATCGCCAGAAGCATCTAGTGGTTCAGTCCAGTAATGGATTTATGTGTTTCTGATTCATAACAGCTTGTCATGCAGCCCAGTAGTGAGTGACAGCATATCAGGGAGTGCTGCTGCTGCATACCATCCAGTGCCCACAGTTGTGTGGAGGAGGCGGATGTGCGGTGATAAAGAAGAGGTGTTCAAGGGGAGAGAGGAGCCTGAGAAGTCTTCCGATTCCTGAACTTGAGATAGCACAGTCATGTGTTTGGGGAGAGGAAAGCGACTAATCATATGACTGAGAAAAGCATTGGAATTTTTATTTTTAATTGGGTTTAAATTCCTTTAAGGATTGAAGCAGGATCCTGAATGGAAATCTTGGGAAGTGTCTCATTGAATCTCGCTTGATTAGGTCTGGGCTCTACTCCAGAACTAATCAAGATAATGTTATGAAGCAAGATTGGTGCTTAGAGGGAAAAAAAAAAAAAGGGGGCATCTGTTTGCAGTGAATTTAGTTTAACAGTGTCTTCTAAGGAACTGTTTTTTGGGTGCTTTTTGTTGTTTTTTGTTGTATTTTTTTTTTATAAAAATACTTTATTCTTAAGGACTTGTATTTTCTGTTTTTTCAGGATAGCAGTGGCTCATAGGACAATGTTCCAGAGAGGAGAAGTGCATAACAAACCCACTGGCTTTTGGGGAATGATAAAAAGTGTTACAACATCTGTTTCGGGCAGTGAAAGTATCCTTCATCTGCATGATGGAACCTGACTCCAGCTGTCTTCTGTTTCGAAAGGAAGAGTGTTAGTTGGGCCAGTTACAAAGCATTTGTGTTTCAACACGTTTCAGCAGTCTGAGCAAACGCCTTAATGTCTCCTGGGAATTTTGCTTTCTGTCACTCTACTGTCTGACCTTTTGCCCAGGGATTGGACACGTAGTTTTACTGTGACACAGTCAGGAGTTATATGCTGCTGCCCTGTCCCTGGTGTTGCATCACTATAGTTGAGGTGTACAGCAGATCGCAGGACAGATGTGCAGACTTATGGTGTCACATTGCAGATGTCTTCCCCATCACATCACTGATGTGGGAGACAACTTTCTATTCTGATGTATCCTCTGCTCATATGACTGACTTGCATGTGTATTTTTCTCATAACTTGAAATGTTCTTTTTCACAGATTCATAGAATCATAGAATTGCCCAGGCCGAAAGGGACCTCCAAAGGTCATCTAGTCCAACCTCCCCGCAGTCAGCAGGGACACCCCCAACTAGACCAGGTTGCCCAGGGCCTCGTCAAGCCTCTCCTTGAATATCTCCAGTGAAGGGGCCTCAACCACCTCCCTGGGCAACCTGTTCCAGTGCTCCACCACCCTCACAGTGCCCTTTTCGGGGATGGAGAACCTGTGATGTACTTAAATGTTCCTGGTTGGAGGAACATTTTACCTCGCCTATGGTTGGCTTTCTGGCCATGTTGGAAAGCTGTGAGAAAAAGAAGGGCAGGAAGCAACTTGTTGACAAAATAAATTGTTCTCATGATATTGGCTGGCCACTGCTATTATAGCAGTGTGACAAAAAGGTGGGTAGGAACACTTAAATAGAAGTTGTTCTGCCCATGTGAAAGGGGTAAAAGGAATCTGTTCTGAATTACAAGGGTCTGTATTTTTCTAACTTACAGTTGCCTACCAGTGTTTTTTGCCAGACCACTTGAAGTGTGCAGTTTGCATATTTAAGGCTGAGGACTCTTCTTCTGCTTTCCCACTAGCTGTGGGAATAGCAAAATCAGAATTTGGCTATTTGACAAGACTCTTCATAATAATCACTAATCTCTTGGAGCAGTTACTCAGCAGTTTTGTTTACGAAGATGATGTGAGCGTGATGTATTGCGAGATGCACTGCAGTGACAAAGGACAGTGATCAAAGTGGAGCAGCAGCCTTCGAGAGCTCTGGTTCTGTTCTGAGATATGCTCTCCAGGCAGAAGAATAATAAGCTTGTTGTGTGACTGCCTAAATACTGTGTACTGCCGACCTTCTTAAAATGGAGCAGTGGGCAAAATATCTATCCTTTAGATTTCTTTGGGTGCAGTATTAACAAGGAGCATTAAGACTTAATCAAAAAACTGTTCTGGATCAAAAAAGTGGTCAAACCATTAGATGCGTCCCTTGGGCTGAAGGTGGGGAATGCTTTGGTTTTGATTAAGAATTTGTGATGTGTTCTAGCCTTGACTATGCTGGTTTGCCAGATCTGTCACTTATCCAGCAAGAAGTGGATGCCCTAGAAGAGCTGAGTAGGCAGCTTTTTCTGGAAACTGCTGACTTGCATGCAACAAAGGTACATAGCAAACTTCCTGCCCAGATGGGTGTTGGGAGGCCAGGGTAGTTTGATAGAGAATGTAGGTTGCAAAAAACTGAAAGGTGTTCAGCAGGTAAATGTTGAAATGTTGTGATGTTGTGGAGCAAGGACCTGTTTTTTTTTAATTTGGGATCTGGATGGCAGTTTCCTTCCAGTTCAGATGTCTACTGGAGTATGCCCCATGTCCCTAAAGCCATTCAGAAACATTTGAATTAAAACCTTTGAGTTCAGAAACAATTGAATTATGAGGTGTAGAAGGATAAAGCTGTATTTGCTGCTATTGGTGCTTCATTAAAATTTTGTGTTGTGGAAATGATATATTTTTTTTGTGTGTTCTCCCCCTCCCTCCTTTTGTATTTCCAGGAGAGAATAGAGTACTCCAAAACTTTCCAGGGAAAATACTTCAATTTTTTGGGTTACTTTTTCTCCATCTATTGTGTCTGGAAAATCTTCATGGTATGTAAATGTATTAATGTTTTATGTAGACATATGCAAATGTCACATCCTGCATTGATTATGCTATACGTGCAGTTCATCAAGTAATGCTACAGTTTCCTTAAAATCCTGTATCTGGAAGTTCTGAAAGAAACTTGCTCTTGGTTGAAATAAAGCTCTGTTTGTATAGAGCATTAGACAAGCAATTCTTACAGGTGTGCATTTTGCACTTTCTTAGACAATTTGACTGTCCCCTGCCCCTTTCCTTCATGGTGCAAAGTAAGAGTCGTGCATGTGTACAGTGAGGTATGCTTTTGTTTTCTTGTTTGAATGCAAATCCATCTCTTTCTTTCAGGCAACCATCAATATTGTATTTGACCGTGTGGGGAAGACTGATCCAGTCACAAGAGGAATTGAGATCACTGTAAATTATCTGGGAATCCAGTTTGATGTGAGACTTTATTAATTCTTACAGCCTTTTCAGCAGTTTCTATCTAATCTAAACAAAATCATACTGCTGGTAGGGAGAGAGTGATAGGGCCCTGAAAATGTGTCTTTGACTTCTAACTTATTGAGGAGAACAGGAAAATGCACCATAAACTTTGCTTTCACACTGATTTTGTGCTGGGATGGTAATGTGCTCTTACCAGAGAGGCAGTGATTTGCTTGTTTATTTTGGGAAGATGGAAACATGTTAGTCAACTTGCTTAGATTAATTCATTTAACTACAGAGTGATAATATTTGCTCATGAACACAGGTGTTCTGTCATTTACACTTTTTAAATATATCCGTGTGAATACAGGGTACTTTGTGATTGATATAAGCTGAATCTGTTTTTCTCATGTGTTTGGAATAAACAATTGCTAATATATTTGTGAAAATGTCTGTTATAGCAACCTGTCTACAATGGCTATCTGTGCAATTAGGAAATACAAAGACACTGAAGAATTGGCAGCTATACAATATGGAGTAAACGGGGTTAGGGTTAGAGATTTAACTCTGTTCTTCTTGTTGATACAGGTGAAATTCTGGTCTCAGCACATTTCCTTTATTCTTGTTGGAATAATCATTGTTACCTCTATAAGAGGATTGTTAATCACACTTACAAAGGTAAGAGCCAGAACTCTTAAGTGGTTTTGTACCAGGAAAGCTGTTATCAGATCTTTAACTTTGGATGGGACAAATACTTTATAACCTTTCAATGCACATTTATGTTTTAAATACATGAGTATAAATACTTGCAGAGGGAGGAAGTGAGGAAAAATACCTTCTGCAGTATATTTCCCCACTCAGTCTCTATTGTTATTAGGGTTGGGAAGAGATGTGGATGTTAAATGAGATATTAAACGTAAGCAAGGGCTTACTATTAGTAAGGTTGATGAGATGGTGACTAAAAGAATTTAGATTGCTTAATTTCAGCTATTGGAAATGCATTAACTCAAGAGATGTGACTCATTGTCTTGATCAGGCTTTTGGTACCTAAGCTTAAACTTTTAATATATATCGTTATATGTCTTTTACCACATGGCACCACTGGCTGAGGGCAATTCATGTTTAATACTAAGACTGCAAGTTTCTGGAAGTAGGGTACAGGCATCCCTCCAGAAAGTGTGGGTTTTTTAAAAGAAAATGTATTGAATGTTATGTACCTTTCATGCAGTCCTAAGGCACATCAGACTTAGCTGACTGCTTATTCCCAGTGCTTTTTTTTCTTTTTTTCCTAGTTCTTTTATGCCATTTCCAGCAGCAAGTCCTCCAATGTTATTGTTCTGCTTTTAGCACAGATAATGGTGAGTATGTGGAACCATCGACATGCATATGTACATTTATCCATACATACTTATTTCTGTGTGTATACATACACACATAATGAAATCTTTGTATGCTGAGCCATGTTAGCCACATAGCTAATTGTGATACAATAACAACCTTCTCTGTTTTTTAATTTACAGGGTATGTATTTTGTGTCATCAGTGCTCCTGATCCGGATGAGTATGCCTCTAGAATATCGTACTATTATTACAGAAGTCCTGGGAGAGCTCCAGTTCAACTTTTACCATCGTTGGTTTGATGTGATATTCCTAGTTAGTGCACTATCCAGTATCCTCTTTCTCTATTTAGCACATAAACAAGCCCCAGAAAAGCATATGGCCCTTTAAGGACTGCAGTCATGCACTGCTCTTTGTCCTTTGAACTGCACTGCTGCAACTCCTGTGGACTGCAAAACTTGAAGAGAGAGAGAGCCAAGACTATTCTGTGTGTTCCAGCAGTGTCACTGGCTCTTTGAACTTCCACACGTCATCCTCAAGCTCTGTGGCTCATTTTGTGAAGGGGCCACAGCTTCAAGGAAAGGGAATACACGTATTGAATGTGAGATAGTTCAGTGCCAAGGAATAAGGGCACTCCTTGGTACGCCAATGTCTAGGGGCATTGGAACTTGCACAGTATGCTGTCTGAGGTAAGACCTGTTCCTGTTAGAAGAACATCTCCAGAGAAGGCACCAAGGAAATGTGATTTTTCTTTTGAAAATCAGCTCATAATTGGGATTCAGAGGATGGCAATTCTGGTTGAATATTTTGAGTTTGTGGAATTAAACAAGTTTTTGTAATATCTCATGCAAGCATCACAGTTGTTTTTTTGTCAGCCCCAAGATTTGGCTGGAAGCGAGCTAGAAAGTGGCTAGGATTTGCTGCCCAGAAGTGAATTGGAGAGAATTTCACTCCGTTTCTGTATGTAATGTATGCTAGTGTGTATCACTAGCACTGACAGTCCTTCGGAGCTGGAGATTAGCTTTCTGTTTCTGAGTCTCAACTTTGTTTTCTCTCCCTGCATAAATGGACTGAGGTTTTGGATTCCTCTTTGCTAGAGTTCAGTGTGAAGTCAAAGACCACAGCTATGCCTTGTTTACCGTATGTGCTGTAAATGTGGTGTTCCCCACAACATGTGTATTCTTCTGCAGTAGCCCATTTCCCCTTCTCCATGTAATTTAAGGCACAAAAGTAAATTTTATTCATGTGATTTAAAATTGTAGCTTCCCATAGCCACTGTCCTAGGCTTTGTTTGTTGTAAAATTGTTCTGGAACAGAAATAATAGGTGGCAAGAGTAAGACCTGGGGCAGGGGGTGGGGGGGCAGGGAACAGCACTCTAAATAATTTATTTCTATGTTGTCTTCAGCGTACAGCAAGGAGGCAGAGTATACAGCAGCAATATTACACAGCCATTTATGCCACATTCAAGACAATGTGATGTTGACTTGGAGTTAGACAAGCCTTCATGACTGAATTATGCATGCTGTTTTAACTACCATGATCTACAGCTGTCTGCAGAGAAGAGGGAATAGTGCTTCAGCATCCTGAGTTATAAATTATGAAGTTAGCTTAATGTTTGAAAGAAATTTCTGCAGCGTTAGCAGGAGAAAGGAGCATAATGCACAGAGTACATTGGTTTATGCCATTTCACAGCAGCTGTACTGCTGTAAGTATAGCATGGAACAGTCAGCACAGAGATTGAGTGGATGGGCTTGGATTAGGGGGAGAACTGCCTCTCCTGGGAGAAGGGGAGAAATCAGTTGCTCTTTATTAAGAGCTTATCCTTAAAAGGCTAAGATGCTTTACAAATCTATAAAATGTTTCTGCCTTCTGCTGCAGTATACTTAATTATATACTTCTAGTTATTTAAGCCTTTACGGAAGTAAAGGACTAACTGCCCAATTTACAAGGCAGAAAGCCAGTGAAGTGCAATTGCAGTGTGTTAAATGAATGCAAGTTACACTGAAGTGTTTATTTCAGGCAGCTGCATTTCAGCAAGAGATTGCAGTCCTTTACAGGTATGGCACTCATAGGAACAGTCAGGTTCTGGGAGGTGTAGTAGCAAAGAATGATTGAAGAAAGAGGATCTGGAAGGTCTTTTTGGTTTTGTTCTTGGCATAGTTTGTCTCCTTACAACTTTGTGTCATCGTCGTTGTCACTGTCTGCTCTTGTAGAGGCAGCTGATTGCAAAGAGGAGGATGAGCTTGCCTGCAGAGGAGTAACAAATAGATTCTGATTATTTTTAGTTTGTAAACATGCTTGATAGTGTGCAGTGTTCTGAAGGACTCCTGTTTTCATCTGCACTAATCATGTACTTGTTTGAATGGCAGAATGAGCCAACAAATGTGATTTTTCTTGTTCAAGCCCTTTTTGGTTAGGTACATGTAGAGAGAAATTTGTCCAATGTTTCCTGTTGTTTAATTCCCATACCTGCTGAATTTGCACACAAAAGTGCTGCTACCTTCAGATCTGCAAAATGCAGCTTGGTGACTAAGAAACTTGAAAAACCTTGCAGCTGGACATTTACAGACAAGGCTAGTGAAAAATGAATAGGAGACTGTACTGCTCTTATTCTTCCTTGTCTGCCACTTTTGCATGATCAGAAAAGAGACATTTAAATATTTAGGCTGACCACACAGAGGTTTCAAAATAGCCGTTTCAAGAAGAAATACCTTCCTGCTTTTCTGACTTTGCTCATGCTGCAGATTGAAAATAATTTACTCACTTCATGCCATTAGAAACAAATCAGCACATTTCCTAGAAAATGTCATGCTAACCTGTCAGTCGCTCTTCCTTCTATAAAATGATCTGTTTTGAAATATTTCACCTGATTTCCCTGAAAGTGGTTTATTCTTTTTGGTGTATTTAAGCACTTTTTTTTCCTCTGTACTTTCAGGATTGTATTGCCTGTTTCCCATCTTCTTTAAGGAGTACTGTGTTTGGGTTATCTTGTTCCATAAAATCTCTTGTATGTGCGTCCTTTCTATGATTTAATCTGGCATTAAAGATACTCACCTGTATTACGTGTGGGGAAAGGAAGAGTTGTTTATGATAATCATACCACAGCTTCCCTTTTAATAACATTGACTTGTAGTAAAAGTCCAGGCTCAGGAATACATACTAGCTGAAAAAAGTTATTGTCCTATCCCTTAGATGATCCTCGACATCTACTTAGTGCATTATTACTCACCCTTTCCCTTGGTTCAGGTGAGTTTCTCTCTGGCTCTGACACATAGCTTTCTTTATAAGCAGCAGGTTCAGAAGTGTCATGGACTGGATCTGCCATAGAGGCTGTGATGGGAATGTTCTGGTCCTGGAAGTGTTTGTAGGCATCTTTGCTGCACACCAGTAGTGTTAGTCTGTCACCAGTATCTCGGATTCTTGCCACCACTTTGTCGTAGGATTCATTGATCACATTCACCCCATTCACTTCCACCAAAAAGTCGTTATTTTCTACACCTGCTGTGTCAGCTGGCCCTTGGTTTTGTACCTGCAAAGACAAGTTCAAACTCTGATAGTAGCATAAAACTTGGAAATATGCAGTAACTACTGATGGTTAGCTAGACCATTGTGCTACTGCTGTCCTTACAAGATGGCGAAATAAGCATGGAGACGGGGAGGTTTGTGGGGCAGAAATAAATTGAGAGAGGCAATAGGCTTAGACATAATAAACATGGAACCCATCAGTTTGAGATTTAAGATGCATCTTGGTTTTGGTAGATTTTCATTATAGAAATGTGGCATCGTAGAATCATGAAGATGAGGAAACCCAATTTTCTTCTTTGCAGGTCCCTGTCCAGTGGGTTTAAAGTTAACTTTACTACATTTCACAGATTCCTTCATAATTAGTGGAACCCCTCCTCTCAAGGAAGCTAAAGACACAGACATAATTTGAGACACTAGACATTTAACTTTTACCAGCTGTGAAATTCAGAGAAGGGCGGGTGGAGCAGGGCGAAAGTGTCTACCTTACGTTTAGGATGTTCTACAGTCAAAAATATCAATTTAAAATACTAACTTTAGCATACCAGCCTCATGCATAAAAGCAGAAATGGTGCAAAAGCTGGATTCCCCTTCCCTCTAGACATCTAGCAGAATGAGGAATGGTTTTTGGTGCTTGTTTTTTATCTTGGTCCTATGATGTCAGTCTGACTTTAACAATTGCAGCTCTTATCTGAGAACTCTGGAGAGGAGACTTGTCTCTTTTGTTGCTTTTCTTTAATATATTTGCAGGACGGAAGGGAGGAGGCTGTCTGCCAGACTACCTGAGCTTTTCCTTATTCCTCAGTCTACATTAGTACCTCACTGATGAACAGTCCAGGCTTGTTCTTGATCATGTTCAAACTGAAGCCAAAGCCATGAGGCCCTTTAACCATCTTGCAGATTCTTGGCTTGTGGTTTACTTTCTGCTCAGTGTACAACTCCACTCTTTCGTCCATTTTAGCTGGAGTTGGATCTTGTGCTTTGTAGTAGTATGAGAAGGGAGAAATCTGAGCCTGGAAGAAGTGACAAATAAAACTTTTGTTAACATAAAAACTTCTGTTGTGAAATCTGCATTAGGCTTTCATGCTCAACATGTTCTGTTTGAAACCTTTTTAATGACTCAGACTTGAGCTGGAATGAAGAACTTTTTGCTGTTAATATCTGGCTGAGTGGAAAACTACGATGTTGATCTTTGAAAAGGGAATTTTGTTACTCATTTTGTTCATAAATGGTTACACAGCCACATAGATCTGGATTTGCTGTCTTAAACTTCTCACCTTCCTTGAGCTGTGTTTAAACTTAGAATTATTCCAATTTGGGTGTTTAATGACTTGCTGAACAAATGCAAGGGTAGTTGCTGAAATACGGGTGTATCTTAGACATTTCCTGCAAGTTGAAGAAGCGTCTGTCGGAAGAGACTGGCTGTTTCATTGCTGTGTATTTCTCTTCATAAAGATAAATTATCAATTCTTAATAGTAGTTTGCGTTTTCTTACCAGTTTATACATGGCATCAGTCTCCTTATCCACTACCAAGAGTGTGGTTTTTGCCTCAGACTGCTTAATTTTTCCCACCACACTTTCATGATCCAGACCATCCACTTCCTCACCATTCACAGCTACTAAGATGTCATTGTCTTTGAGACCTGCCGTTGCTGCTGGGCTCCCAGAATCTACATCCTTGATTACATGATCTAAGATCAGAAGGGAAAAAAGATTGATGTGAAGGCAGATGCTTTGTAAGTTTAAAGATGTTAAAATGCATGACAAAGGCTAATTGTCAGAATCACCCCCTGGGTTGACACCGTTTCCCTGATGTAGCTCTGTTTGCAACACGTCTATAGAGAGAGGACTTCTCCTAGATGACCAGTAAGAAGCCAAAAAGAATGAGGTCTGCAAACCTTGTACAGGAAGAAACTGTATAGTGAATGTCATGGTCTGTGTGTTAACTTGGTTCTTACCACCACTACTTTGTTCCATCCGTAGATAAAAGCCATAACCGTTTTTCCCTTTCTGGATCTCAATAAGTCGAGGTTTGAGGGGAAGCAATCTTAGGCTGGCGCTCTCTTTGCTCAGTACCATCTCCCGACTTCGGTAATAGCGGTCCGTTTCTTCATTTGAAAGTAGAAACATAACATGATTTTCAGACTTCTTTACCTGTGATAGCACATGTACAGTCTCAGATGTCACCCCTTCAACAACATGAGGGAATTGTAGATACTTTGGTAACTGGTGTACTGATACATAGTAGTGTGTGGGTGCTGTTGGTGAATGAGCCTTAGGTGTAGGCCGTGCTACTACAAGTTTGTTTATTTATTTATTTTTCCTCCAGACAGAAATTTGGACCATGACAAGATATTGGGCATGGAAGACCCGGCATATACATATAAGGAAATTTTCTGTCTTTCACACTGTGTTCCTAACCTCTAGGGAATTAGCTGTAGAGGGTGGTGAGGGTGGCGTACAGTGTCAGTGGAATCTAGTGAGCCTCAGCAGATAGTGCTTGGCTTATCTAGATGTGGAACTCTATGACATAGACATACCATGCCATCTATACCACTATTTTAGATCACAGTGACGAGTAAATTTTGTCACTTTTGGTCATCTTCCATCTCCCTGTATTACTGATTGGGAGGTTTTGGGGTTTTTTTTGGGGTGTCTGTTCAACCTCTCCAAGTCTATCCTTACTGCTTTCTAGTTGAATGGGTGCCCTCTTTACTCATCTTAACTAATGTTGCTCTGCTGCTGATGTTATAGCAGCTCAACAAAACACAGGTGTTGCAGGGTTCCATAGTTAGTAGCATGCACTGAATTGTGGTGCTGGGATGCCAGAGTACGGGCTGCCTCGTGGCTCTCTGAAATCTCTTCAGCTCCAGCTGCGTTTTAGCAGTGCCAATGGTGGAAAGCTGGAAGCCTCATTAGCAACGTTCTTTGCAGCTGAGGCCAAGTAGGGAAATTACTTGCACAGTAATTTTCATTAGTTTTGGGCTTAACAGGAGAAAGGAACTACTGTCTAAAATCATGAATCTTCCTTGTTCCATGCTAACTGTATCATCAGAGAGTTCCCCCTCTTCCTGCCCTGAAAACCACATTTGATGACTTGCCCTCTTACCATTAGGAGTATTTCCAGGACTTCAAGGAACAGAGCATGACTTATTTAATAGGGTCTCTGGCACCAGTATACTTAGGTAATTTAAAATCCTTTGGACTGTCTTGGTGGCAGTACTCATTCAGAGTGAGTTCAAGAGGCTGCTTGACAACAGAGCCAAAGCAGGAGGGTACAAAGCAGATGATACATGAACGGTAGCTTCCAAGTTTTACTGGGAAGCATTCAAATCAGCCAGACCTGCCTCCTTAGTAATGCTGATAGGTGCTGTGAAAGTGGGCCAGAACAGGAGATGAGTCAGGATGCAAACAAATACCTTTTCCACCACTTCCTCGTGTGTGTCACTTTCCACATTTTTTCCATTGATTTCAATCAGGCGATCGTTATTTTGGACACCAGCCTTTGCAGCTGCTCCTTCTGATGAAAGCTCTACTATGAACAACCCCTTCTGTCCTAAAATAAATGAAAACTCATTACACAGGGGTAAGTCACTGAAATATGCCTGAATTTAATGGTTAAGGAAACTCAGCACTGATGTCCTTAGAGACTCTTGGTCTCTGCTTGTGTGCAGCTTACAGTGGCACCACAAACCTTCCACATAGATTCTGTCTCTTACTCCGTCCTGGAAAAATCACTTCTGTGGGGGAGGGAGGCATTTGTTCACTCTTTACAGCTCAAACAATCTTTTCATTTTTCTACCAAGAGTGCCAAAGGGGCTGATACAAGATAGCTGAAAAGGATTTGATTCCTGCCTCCCTCCCCTCCCAAGTGAGGAGCTGCTTTTATTTTTGTTTTATACATTTCATAATTTCCTGTGTTTGGAAGGCTTCCATGTTTGGTCTTTCAGTTATATTGCATTCCAAAATACCCTCTTTAGAGGTGATGCTTTCCAGAAAACTTGCGCATTCTGTTGACTGACCTTACAGTCAACAGAGGAAGAGGTTCAAAATCCCTTGCTTTCTAAATAAAATAACTTACAAATCAGGAAAAGTGTTTATTAAAGCTATCTAGAACCTTGTATGCTGATTCTGGAGGTGAGGAATGGAACAGGACTTAATGTAGCATCTTGGGTGTATATCTGGTATTTGAGTAGTGACTGCCAATTTGGTTTTGGTAAGTGGGCTTGAATAACAAGCAGAAGATCACTTTTTATTTTTTTTTTCCCCATCTTTTCTCCACCCCATAAGAAATGTGGGTTCAGAAAACCGTGTACTGCACATGCTGTACAGAAATGGACTAGAGATGAACCTGAACTTGTCTTGCTGCTTCTCACTTTTCTTTCTGTTAGCAAGAGCAGTTTGTGTGTCCCCACTGGCCCCCACACGTTAACTGTGGTTGCCTCTGCCCCTGCTCTGCTGTATGTATCTATATACCATCTCTTCTCCCCAGGCTCTCACCTTCTGTGGTTTTCAGAGAGAAGCCATAGCCTTTCTCCTCCTTCACTAGGTAGCA